CAAAAGGAGCATATCAAGCCAATCAAAACCGGGCCTAATTCTCAGACCAAATCAAGCCTACCAAATTGGTCAAAAATAATATAAAACTTTCAGTTGAATCCAACCCAGAAAAGTCAAAATCGAGCCCACCAAATGGGCCAAAAACAGAGAACATTTTTCTTCCTAACATGCATTCCTAGAATAACAACTAAAACTTCCCAACAAAAGAAGTCTTATTCATCATGTATCTTGAGCAAAAAAGGAAAAGAAGACAACCATATCATGCTCCATTTTAATCTTTCCAGGAACTATTCATGCTTAGATCTCAAAACAAGCCCAAAACTTGCTTCCACTTGCTTTAGAAGAGAAAAGAAATACTTTTAGATGCCATCCGAAATGGTGCGGAATAGAGGAAAGAAAATGAATACCTCTTAATGCAGACTCAAATCAAAATTGCAAGACAGATTCAGGAAAAACACTTCCTACAGAACTCCCCTTCTAAAAGCTTCAAAAAACAGCAGCCAATGAATGCTTCAAACTCCCAGTGCACCAGAACCTAGCCTAGAAAGGATTTCGGCAGAGCCTTTCTTCCTAAAAGCTTCGAACAACAAAAATTCAGCCTCCCTTTCTCTCAAAAAAATTTCAACAACCCAAAACAGTACACTAAGAAATTTTTTTATAGTCAGAGAAGAGGGGAAACCGCCACCTGCCACCATAAGGTGGTCGAATCAAATAACGGGAGTGAATCGTCACCATAAAGGAGAGAAAGTAAAGCCTTGAGAAGAAGAGGGGTCGGCCAGCTGAGCTCCCACGATTGGAGAGTCGAGAGCTCGAACGGCCACGCGAGGAAGGAGAAGAGTCGAGAGAGAAGGAGATCGCCGTGTGGATCGTCCACGGGAGCTAGGGCACACAAGGGAGACAAGTCAAGCGTTCGACTAAGATGCGGGGTCGAACAAAGGATTAAGTGTGCGGGAATAGAGAAAATAGAGTTTATGATTATAATTAAGATTATAAATAATCATATAACTATATAAAAATAAAATTTGATTTATGCATTTTCATTTGTGCGTCAGATTGTATAAAATTAAATGTCCTTTTTAGGTATTGACGTTCCAGACTCGCTGACGTGGTCCGTTTCACCGTCGGAGGTCGTTTTGACGAATTCATCGATTCACATGTAATTTGTTCATGTGCGGAACTATGATAATATGGGTGTCTTTTCTTGCTAAAATTGGTGTCTCAGACGCGTTGACGCAGTCTATTTTATCGTCGGAGGTTGTCCGGAGAAGTTCGTATTTTCACCAATCCTTTAAGTTCAATTTTAGTCTGATCTTGTGCAACTTAGTGAATTTTGTGTATTTCGTGTGTGTGTGTGTGATGATAAAGTCCTGAAGAGGTTTTCCTAGTGCTTGAGATTTTATTGGGAACTTCTCCTGGAGTCTCCACATGATAGTCCTTTACCACTCGACCATAAGACGATAGTTTTGAGATCATTAATGCAAGACATCACAAGAGAAATACGAAGTTGCTGGAATTTCTAAAGGGGGTGGATTCCAATACTAGTTTTCTATGATAGTCAATAAGAACCCTAGAGCTACATCCTATGATCCTAAGGAAAAGAGTCATGACCTCAAAATGAGGTCAACAATAATCCGACGTTATGAGTTCTTGTCTTTGCTGGATGTCAATTCCTGCATTGCTTGACATGTCATTCTGCATCTCTTGTAAGCTTTGGCCAGAAAAAATGCTCTCTTACGAGTTCGAGGGTTTTGTCTCTGCTGAAATGTACTACTAGTCCTCTGTTGTGGCCTTCCTGGACAATAGACTCTCTTAGTGAACACCAGGGAATGTACAACTGACTCTGGTGGAACAGGTATCCATCTGTTCAGTAATATTGCCTGTTGGCTTCTCCTGACATTGCTCCCATATATTTTTAAAATCTTAGTTTGTTTCATATAGATCTTTTATAACCTCGAAACCCACAACTCAAGCCTGCATGGATGTGATCAATAAATTTCGACGACTCAGTGCATCTGCTATTCTGTTATGTCTTCTCACCTTGTGTTTTGGTACAAACTAGAATTTAGCTAGAAATTCCACCTATGTTGCATGGTTTTACTTTAGTTTGTTTTGGCTATTGAGAACTTTTAGGGCATCGTGATATGTAAATAGTGTAAACTCGTTTGTCAACGGGTAGTGACTCTAGCGTTCTAGAACTCTTACGATTGCGTAGAATTTTTTATCGAAAGTTGAGTATTTCTTCTTGGACTCGTTCAATTTCTCACTGAAAAAAACAATAGGATGTCCTCCTTGGCTTAGTACTGTTCCGATCCTCAAGCCGGAAACATAACATTCTAGCTCGAAAAGTTGGTTGAAGTGTCTGAGTTTCTTTTTCTTTCAGTGTGTCAAAACTGTCCTGGGCTGTTGCTGTCCAAGTTATTGATAATTGCTATGTTGGAGGGCTTAATCTTTATAAATAGTTAATATTTTATTAGGGTAGGGTGATGACCAATGATATGATAGGACATGAAAATAATTGAGACTTATACATTACAAAAGTGAAATTGCTATGATGTTATGCTTATATGGCTATGATGGGATTGTTGTGATGATTTTTCTATGATGACATTGTTATGATTATGAACATGCTTATGATTAAATACTTTTGACTACACATGAATGAATGACATAATAGTTTTACACAACAACATAATTTTCTACACTACTTGCTTTTCTTTTACATGTGTTATATGATTCTAACATTATGACTTGTGTATGGACATGCACGGTTACCTATAAACAGGCTTATTGGTCGTTTTCCGTGTATAAAATTTTATTTCAGAATTGATTTCTACCCACTTTTAGTTGTAACCACCACCCGCTGCCTCTTTTCTACCACCAACTTTTGTCGATTCTATTTCATCAATGTACATAAGTTGTTCCATCCGGCCCTAGCGAGACATTGATATTTTGTTTTGTTTCCTTTTCTTATTTTGCGTCTTGATTGTAAACTTGTTGTTTTGAGAAATAAAATTTGCTTTCTTACCAGATTTTTTGTTTACTTTGGTGTCAATTCCAAACTTCAACCACCAGTCCACTGCGTAATTTACAACATTATAAAATTAAGAGGTCAAATTGAACCTCTAAAATGGTTCAAATATTTATGTTGAATAGGCTTTCTTCAATAATAAAAGTTCATCCAAACTTAAGCTTCAAATAATGTGTAGAAGTTAATGGATTTAACATCCTTGATAGTTTTAAAAGCTTGTGTTGTTCTTTTATCTCCAAATTTTAAAGAATGACGAGTAGAAATATATCCAAATTTCATATAGTCTATAAGCTTTTCTTCCATATTAATAACCGAGAAAAAATGTTTTTTTCTCTAATTTAAATTTGCTTAAGTTGTTTTCTATATTCAAAAGGAAAGTCTATAAAAGTGTCAAATTAGTCCCCAGACTCTCTAAACTGGGAAGGAAATTGTCCCCTTGGAGGACTATTAGACCCCAATTGACAGAATTTGAAGACTAATTTGGCACTTCTATAGACTTTGGAACTAAAATGACCCCATGTAAATATTAAGGGAACTATTTCGACACTTTATTCAAAATATAACATTTACATTCAAAATCTTCAAAATATTCAATGATTAGTTTTTTAGCATGCCAAGATTTAAAATGTATTTTCTTCAAAATAGGTCTGATCAAAACACAATTCAAATGTAATAATAGATACTTACTGCATTTGCCCAGAAATATTTGGTAAATTTTGTTAATAATATATGGAATTCACCATTTCTTGTAACGTGCATCATTTTTTTTATTAACTTTGTTGAAGAGTTTTTGGGGTTGATAATTCTTTCTTAGATCTTTTATTTTTAAAAAAATTGTAAAAGCTACTATTTTAATATTCATTTAAAATATATAAAACCTTCTAAATGACAGATTCCTTGCACCAAACTTAGCCAACTTTTAAATTTGATCCCTTGGACTAAATAGATCTTCGGCAGAACGAACATTTCTCATTCATGTAATGTAACACTCCTTATTGGAAGATTTGCGCCTAGGCTGGACGCTTGGACTAGTTTGTTCCAGGAAGGCATGTTTGGTCAACCTTGCTAAACCTGGGGATTGCCGCTCAAGGGAGTGGAGCTACTCCTAGTTTTCTAGGGCATATATATTTTGCTTTTATTGTGTTTATGTTTTCAGTTTTTCACTGTGTTTGTTTTGGGAACCTTTTCCTGTCTAGGGATGTCTCTGAGGTTCTGAGTGGTGCTCCGATTGTATCTCGTTCCTGAGTTGGTGTTATCCTTTTGATACCCTCCCCATCCCTTTCCTGCACCGGTTTCCTCCCCCTTGCCGCTCCACCTTGCTGCCGCCCCAGAAAAAACTGCCCAGCAGTTGTTTTTCTTCATCCTAACTGCCCGCCATCCCCAACCCAAGCTTCCCAGCTATCCCTCTCCTTCTTACTAGCTGCTGTCACCCTGAACTGCCCTTTCCGTTGCTTTCTCATTGCTGCTGATTTTAAGAAAATCTACAGACCAGTTGTTTTCCCTTTCCTTTTGCTGTCGCCACATTCCAAACTCCAAACACCGCCAACATCCTCGATTCGTCACTTATTCTAAGTTGTGTGTTGTGTTTGTTGCAATTTCAAATTTCTACTTGAGTTGTTATAATTTCTTATTTGAATTTAACAATAATATTTATTTTCTATTGGTGTTAGGTTAAACCACGGTATTAATCATTCAAAGTGAACCTAATTTAGGAAGCTTGCTATTACTTTAACGTTTCTTATGAAATTTTCTTCGGATTTCATTCAGTTCTCATTAACAAGGAATTTTCTTTTTAAATAAGTAGCACACTGAGCATTTAACTAATTGATTGTACAGGATGAAGTAAAATGGGCAATATATGAAAGCAATTATTTATTTTATTTTTTGTTTGCATTCTTTAGTCATGTTATTAGTAGTTTATATTTTTCTGAGTTTCTTTTCATAAATTGTTCGTTAACAAATTTTGAAACAGTATCCAAAATTTGGTTCAAGTGATAGATTATGGTGGAGGGGTCTTTCACGTATACTAGAAGATATGGGATTTATTAAAGAGGCTGATGATCAGGTATCCTTCTTTATTAGTTTTATTATTATTTTTTTTTTTATCTCTAAATATCTTTGATCATTGGCGCGTCAATCATATCTTTAGTAAAATTTTAACGCTGACTTAAAAAAAAAAAATATTAACTAATGTTATTCATTTATTTCAAATTTGACTTAACGTTAGTGAGATTATATACCAAGTGCCATGTTTTGTTCCAACTTTCATATATACTACCAAATTTACGGTCATTTCACCTTGTTAAATTGGCAAATGAAAGTGACCAAATTTAGACGGGTAGGGTGGCAGTTTGGTTGTGCATGCTTGTTAGGTGTTTGTGATGTTATGATTGTACGAGTGGCTTATTTGGCTGGGAAAATATGTTGCACTATCTGTTAGATATTGAGATCTTCATTTCAGTAATGATTCCAATTGATTGGGAAAAGAGATGAATGTTTAAGTTTACTGATTTTATGGTTTTTATTAACAAAATTACAATTTTTTTTAATATCAGTTAGGCCACCGGAGGTCAATTTGTATGAAAATTAGAATCAAATTGAAAAGTTTTATATATTTTCTCCATTACATTCTGGAATCTGACATTTCTTGTGATGAATTAGTCAGCTTATTTTTTTGAGTCAAATAATCTCAAGGTAGTTTTTCTATTTTATAGACTTCATAGAATACATTAATGGTCTACATTAAATCATCACTTCACGAAATTATTTCGGAAACATCATGTAAAAAAATGAGCATACCTTGTGGCATTGAGTTATGAAACACCTGCATTTGTCGAAAGATTGATTTTATCAATCTTAACCTAGAATCTCCATAAAACACTCGAGACAACATAAACATCGCTCATAGGGGGATTTACACTCGTAGCACTCAAACATTGATATTTTACATATTTTGTGCTAGGGCGTCCCCTGGAAGCGACGCGTTGTATAGCCTGAATACAGTGAAAAGTGTGCAAGGGCCGCTACACCGGCGCCCGAATGTAGTGTTAAATAAGCAAGGGTTCCCGCATTACGGGCGAATGCGCATAAAGAAGTTAGTCCATGAAACTAATAAAAATAATATTAAGATAGGATCTTGGAATATAGGTACTCTCAATGGTAAATTAATGAAATTAGTTGATATTATGATTCATAGAAAAGTTAATATCTTATGTATTCAAGAAACTAAGTGGGTGGGAGAAAAGGCTAAGGAGATTGATAATTTAGGTTTTAAACTTTGGTATTCTGGTAAGAGTCGCACTTGAAATGGTGTATGTGTAATTATAGATAAGAGTTTGAAAGATAATGTTGTAAAAATTTATAGAGTTGGAGATAAAATTATAGCCCTTATAATTATAGCTCTTAAGATTATCATTAGTACTAAGATTTTTAATATTATAAGTGTTTATGCTCCTCAAGTAGGTTTAGATACAGGGTCTAAAGATAAATTTTGGAACGACATAGAAAATTTAATACAAATGATACCTCTTGAAGCAAGCATTTTTATTGGAGGAGATTTAAATGGATATATCGGTAGAGTTGTAGAAGACTTCAGAAATACTCATGGTGGCTACGGTTTTGGAGTAACTAATGAAGAAGGTAGAGTTATTTTAGATTTTGCTTCAGCGTATGATTTTGTTATTACAAATATTTTATTTAAGAAAAGAGATGAGCATCTTATTACTTATAAGAGTGGATCTAATAAAACACAAATTGATTATTTTCTTATGAGAAGAAGAGATCGTCGCGATTGTAAATATTGTAAGGTCATTCCAAGTGAAAATTTAA